CCATCTTCAGTATCAGCCGACGTATTGCAATATTCAGGGGAAAAAAGTTATCTGGTTGATAAAAGTGTTCACCTATCGAGTCACAGTGGTTCTTCCGTATGAGTCTTCCAGTTCGCCGTTTGCATGCCGTTCATCGACTGAGGATCCGGAACCATTCGCTTCCCGCATAAACGCGAACCATCACATGACCTTACCGATAATGGTTATAAATTGTTTATAATCCCTGCTAAACTTCAACTGAAATGGTTATGGAACCTTACATGAACGTTTGTGTGATAAAGTTTTAACCTTATGTGTTATGGTTTTTTGGAAGCGGACCTTACAAATAATGGGTTGTTAAGAACCATTACCATTCCAAATTCTTGTTTTCTCCATACATTTTCGGAAAGAGAACTATATTAGAACGTTTTTACTTATGGTTTGAGAACATTAATGGTTATGGTTATGGTAGTCAGTAAGGTCCATTAATGGTTTTGTATTATCACTCAACTTTACGTGAAATATATCGTGAATTGGTAATCAGTAATTTACAGGCAACCAATTCGCGATATATTCCACATAAAGTTGATCGATGTTACAAAACCATTCATGGACCTTACTGGTTACCATAACCATTACCATTAATGTTCTTAAACCATAAGTTAAAAGGTTTTAGTAAAGTTTTCTTTCCGAAAATGTATGGAGAAAACAAGAATTTGGAATGGTAATGGTTCTTAACAACCCATTATTTGTAAGGTCCACTTCCAAAAAACTATAATACTTAAGGTTAAAACTTTATCATTAAACGTTCATGTAAAGTTCCATAACCATTTCAGTTGAAGTTTAGCAGGGATTATAAACAATTTATAACCATTATCGGTAAGGTCAATTTATGGTTTGCGCTTATGCGGGTTGTTAATTGCAGTTTCTTCTTCGTAGATCCCCGCTATCCTGAAATGGGACACATTTTTTTAGAAAATCTTAATTTGCTTGATTATTCCACTTCTATTCCTTACCTCCAAACAATCCGCTTCAGTTTGTACCCAGGAAGGCAATGCCGTTCTTTCCATAGCTGCAGAAGTCACGTAAATCCCGAACACGTAAAATTTCCACCTGATACGCGAAGATGGCGTCACTTTTATAATTAAAACCCTAATGAATATTTTTAACACATTGTTAGGGCTAAAATATATTTTTTCAAATGAATAAAAAGTACCCGCTTTTATATTTTTGAAAGTACCCATTTTTTGACAACTTAGAATAAATTCAAAAAATGAGTACAAAAAACGCATTTAAAGGGTACTTTTGTGTTAGCGTGTAAAGTATTAGATATAAATATTACAATGTCTTGCCCCTCGCGTTGTACGATGTACATCGATTTTGCGAACAAAATTACATCCATTGATGTAATATTGTATCTGCTTTTTGCTATTACATCATTATTTCATACATCAGCTTGAATTACATTGGTCGATAGTACATTTTTTTTGCTGTGTATGAATATATACACCGAGGTGAATTTCCATATACCTTTTATGTGTGAAACCACATAGTTTTTTGCAATTAGACTTCACAAATAAAAAATATGTATGAAGAACATAAAAATTATTTGGTTTCCCACCAATAAATTCAATGACATATAAGAAATGAATTTCATTTGCTTTGGTAAATAGAATTTATGTGTGAGGTTTATAACATTTATTTCTCGGTAGAACATAAAGATTATGTGTCTAATTCAAATGAAAGTCATGGTACACACAATAACGTTTACGTATCAAGTTCATATATGTTATGTGCTAAAAATATAAATAAAATAATAACAATACAGGCTCTGGTAAATTATTTATTTTCCTGAAGAATTTACACCATCACTGACGTCAGTGGATTGTATATTCCCGCGTGAAGGCGTTTTTGGTTTGAGTCCTCCGATGTCTGTCGAAGGTGCCTCGGAGGGCTCATCGGAGGGTCTAGCGTATACATCGCCGCCTTTAGTCTCTACGTCCTCTTCCTGCGCGTCCTCCTCCTGCACGTCATCCTCCTGCAAGTCTTCCTCCTACACGTCCAGCAGGAAGAATCCCTGTGTAGAATTCACAAAAAAAAGTTATTTCAAACAAATAATTTTTATTATACTAACTCACGTTTGCCTTGCGCCATTTAGTTATCCGACGGAAGATTTCAGTTTCCTCTGATTTTAAAGCTTCTCCGAGCTCATCACGGGACCTTTTGGCTAATGTTTTGTGTTTCTGTGATTTTTTTTCACTGAAAACAATTGAAAATAATAGTTTTATGGTAAGTAGTTAAAGATAAATGAGATAAATAATTATTTACCTTTGAGAATGCTCAAGTTTTGTTGATAGATGGAGACGATTTAGCACAATTTGTGCAAACTTATTGTTTGACGCCATATTAATAGTGTGCACTGAATTGAATCACTTAACCATTATGTGTGAAAACACATAACTTTCATTTATAAGATTCGAACCATAATTTTTATGGCAGCACACTAGGGGCAAGACGGCTGTACTCAGAGTTAATATTTTCTCAGCGAGTAAATTTGAGTAACTCATATTTACTCAAAAGTGATCTAAGCAGTCTCATATTCATCCATAAATTAAAAATTAAATTAGTATAAACATACATTATCTGTCAGAGTGTCGGAGTGATCATATCCGTATTTTATTTTGTATTCTTGCATCAAATACTCATTAATCCGTGTGTATTTCTTTTCAGTGTGAATTTTTACTCTTATATGCGTGGTCTCAACTATGATGGACAATAAAATTGAAAATCAGCAAAAGATATTTCTGATATGATCCCGAGAAACGAACCCGATATTTGGCGTGATTTATGATGGGTTGCCAAGGATGTATTATTTCAATTGTTAATTTCAGCATCTTATATAAATAAGTTAAAATGAGTTGCGAATTCTAGTTTTAATTGTTCTTATAGAGCAGTAAATTGTTATATGTGACTAGACAATGATCTTTCCATCAATCCCGATTTAAACTTAGTGAAAAGGTTTTAATATTAACAGATGCCCGTCATGGAAAACTGCAACTCCTCAATGATTATTTCCCTCCACAGTCACGAGTGAAACGCGATGCGAAGGGAGACAATAAGTACTACCATTAAAAACATCGGTTTTCATTCGTGGACAATACAGTCCTGGGAATCACAAAGCCGTAGTCTTTGATTCCACGTGAAGTGAAACTTTTATGGGCAACTGAAACGTTTTGAATTTTGTTGGTTGGTATGCAATCTGCCAAAATGTTCACAATGGATTGCCTACCATGTGCATCATCAAGACGTTAAATTATGGTACAACTCCATGTTCACTTGAAAATCCAATAATTATCATCGTCAACCAATAATAAGCATACACAGATTTTGCATGCTGCGACACAGGTTTTGTGGATGGCATTCTGGTATATAATATTGTTGAATGATGGACATAGCTTTTCATCGTCAAACGTCTTTTCTTGACAATCGTGGAATGCACACAAAACAAACAGGTTGCTATGTCATTGAATATTGAGCAACTCGAGTTACTCAGAGTTACTCAAAATTTACTCCAGTATGACTCATTATCAAAAGCTGTCTTACCCCTAGGCAGCACACATATAAATAAAATTTGTCACGCATATACGTGTTATAGGTTAAACGCTGTCCAGACTGGAGAGTTATAACATGTTATAACGGTTGTCAAATAATTGCAACACGGAAACCACCATCAAGATAGTGCTATAACATGTTATAACTCTGTAGTCTGAACAAGGCATTACCTTATAGTAGGTAAGGGGTTTGTTATAAAAATTATGTTTACACATATAAACATACACACTAACTTTAGATTACTGGAGTCAGTAAAATTTTACTGGGTTTTTGAATTGCGGATCGCCCGGTAGTCATCACAGAAATAATTTGCATTACCGAACTGTCCGTAAAGTCAATCTGTCAAAAATAACTGTTCATTCAGTAATTGGTTCGAGTTGCGTATACTGGAAAACCCAGTAGTTTCTTTTTGTTTATTTTGCTGCAATTTAACTGAAAAGACAGTTATTTGGTTCATTATTATACCGTGTTACCCAGTTAATTTAAAAGTAGTGAATTTGCAGTCATAAAAGCATGAATCCTGGTGCAATTCACCGTTTATAATATGCCAATTAATATGACGACTTAATCCCTTGACGTACCCCGGAATAGCGCGTCGACAGTGAAAGCAAACAATGCAAACATCCATTTTGTTAATCAAAATTTGTTGGAGATCAAGGAACTGCAAAAAGAGTAAATAATAATTGTTGGTACTAACGAAATAGTACTTCAATTTCACTGTCGAGCTTTCTCAGTTCCGTCATGATATAATTCAAGTTTTAACAAAACCGCGCGATTAAACACTTGCTCCCGGATTTTACTGAAGCTAAAATGGCGGCGGGAATAAAATTGACAGTTTAGAGTTTTACAATTCGTGGTCGGTAAAACAAGGTGGCTATTCTGCTGACCAGTCGGTAAAAAAATAAAGACTACTTTGTGCATAGTAATTATTTTTACTGACTTTTCGTGAAATCACGAAAATTTGGAAAATAACGACTTTCTCAGTAAATAAATATTCTGTGTACAGTATTTTGCATCAAACGATACCGAAGTTCAGTTTGTGTTTTACAGAACATCGGTTATTCACCTGATTTAAACTGAATTTTCAGTAAATCTTTCGTTTTACCGTTTAAGCCCAGTACAAAAAAATACCGAACAACTAAATGCTGGATTAGTGTGTAATGTTTTGAATATCTTTTAAAAATTATGTGTACAGACAAAATAAACATTAAGTTTAGAATTTTTTTAGTGTAGACTATAGTAGAAACCCCTCGGTGTTTTCAAAAGACTTTATTTTGAGATGATTCGTTTTTTCCGTGTAGATTTTTTTCACAGGGGGGATCTAATGCACTTTTGCATGGTGCATGAAAACATAACGCCTTCTAACGATTCTGGGAAAAGCGCATCATTCTTCTCTATTTTGCATCCGTGTTAACACGTACAAAAAGCGATTGTGAAATAATTTTCCAATAATCTTATCGATCAAAGTAAAGTTTTAGTGGTTGGAGAAAAAGGATTCCATTCAAAAATGAGTGAAACAGATCTTATTATGGATCAAGCACTGCCACTCCAAGATTCAAATAAAACCAACAATTTTACGGATGTTGCTGACGCTTTAGGACACGGAAATGGCCTGTAAGTATGATTTTCCCATCTTCTCTTTCTTCTGTAGGATCAGGAACAGTTGTTGAAGGATTTTATACCTGGAAGTTATACGTAGGTCATGACAGACGGTTTGTTTTTCTTTAGTCCTTCGAGGATGGGGTGATGGAAACAAAAATCGGAAAACAAAGAACACAGCGTCAGAAAGCATTGCGATACAATGCACTGGCTTCTGTTTCTGTTCCGTTGTGCTTGGTTGCGCTTCCTGATGACCTACTATTTCGTCTGGCTCGAATCCGATTTTTTTTTATTACAAAGGATTGTTTGTTTTGATTAATAATAATGTGTTTTCCAGGGATAGTTATGGAAATCGCCTCAATGCGCGCATGCCAGTGGATCGTTATGCATCGGAATATAACATGAATCACTTGAAGCGCGGCTTGGCTCTGATATTCAATCACGAACACTTTGAAATTCCCCAACTGAAGGCTCGAACTGGTACCAACGTCGATTGCGAGAATTTGGCCTCTACGCTCAAGTGTCTGGACTTTGATGTTCGCGTGTACAAGGATTTGAAGTTAAGAGAAGTGCAGAAAGAGGTGGAAAAAGGTAAGTTCATAGCGAAATGGAATTTTGTCATGAACTCCCTAAGGGGCCACGCAACTTTGATGGTCATTCGCGAAGACATGTTTAGTGGGTGTTATTTATAGGGCAGTCAAAAATCAAAACCACCTAAACTTGCCTCAAAAGCCTTTTCAAGGTGGTTTTGATTTATGACGCAATATTCGTCATTTTTTGTGGTGTTGGCCAGATTTGATTTTTTCAGCTGTAACATCTATAACATCATCCCCAGAAAACCATTCCCCAGAATGCACCATTCCCCACAATGTACCATTCCCCAGAAAAGCATTCCCCAGAAAAGATGATGAAATTAGTAATTTTCACTTTTCTTTTTTTTTTACTATTGATAATACACTATGTTTACTTTTATGGAACTATTTATTTATCAATTCCAAACCATTTTTTAGCTCTTTAAAAAATGACAACCTTCAAGTTTTCGAGCACTTCGTTCATCATTTAATAAGTCAGGGTCTATTATGCACTCCAATTCAACCAGTCGGAAACTGTTAAACCTTATCGAAGAATTGTTCGACCTGAGTTGTAGAATTTCTCGTGATGGATTAAAAAATCGGTGCATGGAACGTTGAACTACCGATTACAAATTTATAACATTATTCCACTCGTTATTATCCCAAATGGTCATTACCCCGAATCCTTTGCGAAAAGCTTTTGATTATATATTTTCCTTATATATTAAAAGAAGGGAATATTCCCTTCTTTATCATACATCCAAAGAATTAATTATTTCCTTTTTTATATTTTCAAAGAAGAGAATATTCCCTCCTTTATCATATATTTAGCGAATTAATGATGTTTTCTTTTATATATTCAAAGAAGGGAATATTCCCTTCTTTATCGTACATCAAAAGAATTAATTATTTCCTTTTGTTATATTTTCAAAGAAGGAAATATTCCCTTCTTTTTCATATTATTTACATATTTAAAGTAGGGGATATTCCATTCTTTATCGTATATTCAAAGAATTAATGATTACCTTTTCTTAAATTTTCAAAGGACAGAATATTCCCATCTTTATTATATATTTAACGAATTAAAGATGTTCTCTTTTATATATTCAAAGAAGGGAATATTCCCATCTTTATCGTTTATGCAAAGAATTAATTATTTCCTTTTCTTATATTTTCAAAGAAAGGAAAACGCCTTGATCCATTAAGAAGTTTTTCTATTCTTTTTATATACGCGAAAGAAGATTCCAGGAGTGACTATAATAAACAAAAATAGTCAATCTAATACAGACATGGCATACTTTTCTGGGGAATGCTTTTCTGGAGAATGGTTCATTCTGGTGAATACTTTTTTGGGGAATGGTGCATTCTGGGGAATGGTGCATTCTGGGAAATGAGATTCTGGGGAATGGTTTTCTGGGTAATGTTATAGAACCCTAAATAGGACCTAGATTATTTAATACTCTAGTAACCTCCAGTCCTTGCTCTGTCACATTGTATCATTGTGATTAATCAACACTCAATAAGTAAAATAACAAATTATGGGTGAATTTGAAAGAAAGGAAACTTGAAGTGTAGGGTGCACTGCCCACTGGACGATTCTGAAGCTAGGCCAATTGAGTGTGTTACGGTTTTATTTGATTGAACTTCATTTCCAATTTATATATTGATACATTCAAACCATTGGCATTTGGCATTTGAGATAAGACAGGCATTTGGCGTTTGAGACAGAGATAGGATGCGGAGGGCCCGCTTATGGGGAGCGTAACCCATGTTATGGTTTCCATTTAAGAAATAGTTCAGATAGGCTAGAAATGACAGGTTCATAGTGAAAGAATGTAACATATGGTGCCCGTTCACTGATCAAAATCAGATTCACATCGTCAGGCCCCGCCCAAGAATAAGGGGATTGACGATGATTTGTCAAGTTTTATTTTGCATTTGCATATAATTGTAATTTTATGTCTGCTTTTGAAATAATAAGATAAATAGTTTATCTCACGCTCCCCTTGGCTAGTTTTTGCTCCTTGTTGCTGGTGGGAGGGCTTAATTTCATACTTTATAGTGGAGTGTTGGAGACGGTAGGTTTATGGCCGGCGTTGCTTGCTCATGCCGCGATAGAATGGTGCCATAGGCACCACTGCATGCAAGAACCAAAAATCTAGTCTGGCAGTGATAGTATCACACTTGTTACTCCTTTGTTTGAGAGCCGCGTTGTAGTACGCTTACGTGCACTGAAACAAAGATAATAGTTAGGAATACTATTTTGCGCGGTTTTCGTAACTTACATAATTTAGCTATTTCGTTCGAAACGGATTTACTTATTCAATAGAATTACCACGCGGATGTATCTACACGCACAAGTCACAGCATTTTTTCTATATTTATCTTGAAACAATACACACGGAATCCAGTGTTTATGCTGCCAACATAAGCTCGTCCTTCTGCTATATTGTCAAACGTAGAAGCAAAATTTATTTAAATGTGTCAAGTCTTGAAAACAAAGCTGTCACGCAACAAAACAAAAATTAAATAGTTTATCTCAATTGAAATATTGAGTTGTATAAGCTTGACGAATCATACATCTAACATAGTAGTATTCACAGTGTCACATGATCTAACAACCACTGCCTGCAACTAATGATTACGGATCAAAATTAACATAACTCTAACAATAAAATGATCCCGAAACTAACACTCATTCATTGCACTTTAAGTCATAAAGTAGTTTTATTTATTTTCAGTGGACATTGGCCAAATTTGAATTTTGCATATATAATCCTAAAAAGGACCTAGATTAAAGGGAACATGGAGAGTGCACTGCCCACTAGTTGATGCTGAAGTCTGGCCATGTAATGTCTGAATGATGTCTGAATGCAGGTGGCTATTTTATTTTATACTCTCTATATTATACTCCTTGAATAAGGTTTTTGGGTTAACAGAGGCAGAACGCGGAGGGACCGGTTAGTGAAAGCATAATGTTCACACTTGAAGGATTCAGAGCGGCTGAGCTGTTCGGTGGTAGTTTGACCTTCCTTTCAAAACCATTTTGGCTCTAGAAAAACTTCAAACTTGTTCTGCATTATTCACATGTTGCAATTCTAATAAAGAGCTCGATATAAAGTAGCTTAAATCAATTAAATAGAAATGCCAAAATCTTACCGAGTAGTTCAACTTTTTTAATTACGGTAGAGTTTGTTGAGATCGGGTATAGTTTCTGAGCATGTTGTTTGCGAATTCCCATTTTGAAATAGCTCAGATTAGCATAGAGTAATAGTTTTATTGGTAGGGAACGTTTTTTTCTTCATACATTTTCCATTATTAATACTATATTAATCATTATCAGTCTACGAAAATGTTATATGTTTAAGCCCAGTTCTAGATTAGTTTGTTATTAATATCCTTTGCATTACAGCTCACGAGAGGTTACCAAATATGGGTTTTCGTTTTCATCCACAATAGTTTGGGGGGGGGGGGGGGGGCGAGTCCAGCGTTGCGATCTAAGAGCGAAATAGAGGCAAATAAAATAGGGAACACAATACCATGACCCAAACGACTAACCAACGCGTGCGGCTTGCACTTAACTTGTTCTAGATATTTCTTTCTTCCTCTCATGTTCCAATATTACCTGCCTGAGAATAAATGGGAACACGGCCAGGTGTTCAATAGGAGGAAAAATAGCGAGAAACAATGAGCAAGAAAAGAAGAATTAAATAAGACATGCATAGGAAAGAGTAAGCACTCCGAAAGGATCACGCCGGTTGGAGACAGCCAATTTATACTGGACGTAGCAAGTAGCATAACAATTGTAAAAAGTGTGTGCTTGCATGATTTTCCTATTTAAGCCAATCAACTACACCAGAACCTCATTTCCTTCAATTACTACTCCATCGCAGCACAACCTAATAATGATCACTAAACTTCATATAGTTTCAGTATTATCAATATTATAATCAAAAGGTGAGTTGTAAAGTAAAATTACCATGCATAGAGATAAGTTAATATACCAGAACCTAAACGGACACGAGCCTACCCAGGGGAGGACTCGGATACGACCACCCATGTGTGTCTAGAGTATCGCACGAGCTGACAAGTGATACGGGAAGGACAGTAGGTGTATAGACTAAGGGGTTAGACCCTAGATGAGCCAACTTAGCGGGTGGCACAGCCTACATATATAAAATGTTGATCGGAATTATGAAATCATTAGATTTTAACATGAGGCATTAAATATGTTGATTTCACTCATCCTCCCTTTTCTATAGTAAAAACAGTAGGTTTTTTTGGTTTTTTTTATATATTGTCGAAAATTTACGGGCACCCATTACAATTTCCCATCGGTTGACATTATTTTTTTGTATTGAGAATGTGACGTTCACCAAGAATGAGGGGATTGACGATGATTTGTCAAGTTTTATTTTTTGCATTTGCTTTTTTTCATCAAAGTTATTTATATCAGCAATATAATATTAGCCTATAATTTTAAGTCTTCTGTTAGTATTGTGTATTATATGGAGAGCCCACCTAGATACTAACCAGTTGGTAAACTCTCGAAAAAAAAAAACAAAAGAGAATGTGACGTTCACCAAGGCAAGAGTGTCACTTCCAATTTTTTGAAAATAAACACATCTTCAATGCTAGCTTACCCATGAAACTATGAATGCTGTTCCATAATAGAATGTTCTGTCCAAAATGAAGTCCTACAAAAATTGTAAAAAAAATCGATTTGTGTGGTGTGTTGAAAATCGAAATTATTTATCATAATTAGACATCATAAAATAAGGATTTTTGAATTTTCAAATATTTTTTTCCTACAATTCCTGTATTGAGGCATCACTGATAAGGATGAAGTCACATCATGTTTTCGATGTTTACCTTGCATTCACATAGCATTGAAATGCAAAACATTTCAAATCCATCAACAGTAGTGTGATCCGATGTGCAATACTCTTGAATTGATAGAGAAGAAAAATGGGAAACGAGAAATCTGAAATCAGAACATCTGAACGTCAGAATGAGCAT